TCCCTCCTCCCCCAATTCCGTTGCCCCCTTAGCAAAGCCCTCGAATGCTAGCTTTGTTTTGGGGTTTTCTCCCCTCCTTTTGTTTATCCTCAAAAAATAAAAAGAAGGAAATGTGGTCTCTCCACTGGCGGCGTGTCCTGCGGTGCGGCGTGGAGTCGGCTGCAAAAGAAGAGGAAGAAACAACACATTTTGGGGTTTTCTTGGAGCTTGTTATCAAAATTTCATTTTTTTTTCTTTTTCCTCTGTACCTCCGTTCTCGTTCATACTTCGATTCTTGGGTCCAGTCTCCCTTTTCCTGGGATGAATGCTCGTGTGCTCCTCAAAATCGATTTTGGTGTTGGTGGAAGAGGGTTTTACAGGTCACCAACACAATTTTGGGGTTTTCTTGGACCTTGTTATTAAAAAAAATAAATCAACGCGCAACCTTTGCCGAGTTAGCTTCACGTGATTCCAAGGTGCTCTGGTTTTCTTGGTGCTCTTAAGCACGTGTTTCCAGGTGCTCTGGTTTTCTTGGTGCTCTGTTCCTGAGCTCACCGCTTTTGTAGGATATAAAACCCCAATCCCCGAGCTCTCGTGCTCTTAACAAGCCCTGAGGCGTGCTGTACCTTAACCTTTATCTTTCCATGTGTACTCGTATAACTTAATTGCACAGGATAAACCTTGTTGGAACCAAGAACAGTGGCACGACTGCCAGACTAGATGCTATATTATCATGTATAAGGTGTTTATCAGATTGTAGTATTATTGTGACACCTGAAGTTTTGAGTTATATACTGGAACACCCTCTAGGGGGTAGAAATGTATGTCATTGAGCTTCTGTTACTAATTCAATCTATGCTCAGCTTATATGATTGAGCTTTAGTGACTGATTCAACATTTCTTCAACTGGTCCTGTATAAACTTATATTATGCGTCATTATAGTATTTCTCTGTTATGTGTGCTTCTTTAACATATTGTACTACTGACAAATGGTAACATCATTTTTCATACTTTGTTTGCCATTTCCCTTACCTTCAGCGATGGACTACACATCGGATGGAGATTCTGAGGTTGAAGCTTATGGATCCGGCACTTTTGAGCTTCTGGAATCAGGAGATTTAAAAGTGATGACTGATGAAGGCTTGTACCGATGCCCCTTTTGTTCAGATGATGAGAAGGACCACAGTCTAAATGATCTGCTGCAGCATGCCTCTGGTGTAGGGACTGCACATGATCGGGAAGCCAAAGAGAAGGCGGACCACCGTGCTATTGCAAGGCATTTGAAGGGTAAGCCTCTTGAATCATCTGGCGCACTTTTGCAGCCAATGCTTACCGATGTGCAGGATTCTGAGCATACCCAAGATGAGCAATTTGTCTGGCCGTGGATGGCTATCCTAGTCAATATGCCAAATGAATTCTTTGGTAAAAGTGCGAATCGGCTGAAGGAGCATTACTCATCTTTCCATCCAGTGAAGGTGCATCCTGTATATAGCAAAGGTCGTCCCACTCGTGATGCTGTTATTGAGTTCGGGAATGACTGGAGTGGTTTTAGGAATGCACGGGCCTTTGATGCTCACTTTGCGAAGAAAGGGTACAGCAAAGATTGCTGGAAGGAGATGAAGTGTGAAGGTACAGAGCCTGTTGGGTGGATGGCAAGGGCTGATGATTACAATTCTCTAGGGGCAATAGGTGAACTACTGAGAAAAAATAGTGACCTGAAGACATTAAAAGATATTGGGAGTGAAGGGGCAAACAAAACTGAAAAACTTCTGTCCAATTTGGCCTGCGAAGTTAAAGAAAAGGAAATTTATTTAGAGCAACTTGAGTCTGAGTACAACAAGCGATCTGCTTCACTTAACATAATGATGCAGAAGAGGGAGCAACGACTCCAGTCATACAATCAAGGTACATGGCAATATTCTGGTTATTTATGCATGATACATTTAGGAGTGACTAAATACATGCAGTGGTTACTATCCATTTTCAATCATGTTGTGCTATCTATGACTATAATAACAGTTTTTTTTTTCCACTTTTACTAGAAATCCTGAAGATGAGACAGCTTGGTCAACAAAACACACAAAGAGTTGTTGAGGAGAACCGGAAGCTACGGTCCGATATCCAGGACATGGTGGATGCACTTGATGCAAGAAACAAACAAATCAAGGAGTCGGAACATGACAAAAAGAATCTTGAGCAGGAAAAGCTAAAGGTGGGCAATTGCTTTCATCTGAGGCAAAATGTTTTATCAACAAGAATTATGTAATAGCTTGGAGATTAGTATATACAGTGTAGTTTTCTGCTTCTTACAGGAATTAGAATCCTCTAGTCATGTATGTCTTCTAAGAAGGATAAATAATTTTGATTGCTATTTCTTTGAAAATGAAATCTTTTTGTTACTTGGTGATTTTATGGTATGAAAACACAGATCATTCTACAATTAGTTGCCACTTGCCAGATGGTTGAACAATTCTATTAGGGTGAATTTGCAAGAGGTGTATTTGTATATGACATTTTTTTTTGTTCAAATCTATTGTAAATTTTAAGGAATTGTATCCTAGTCAAAATAGTCTCCTACTGTTGGTGTTATTATATAGAATGAATTAAATAATCAATTTTCTTGTTCTTGCCGGGCAAAATAATAGCAGAAGGCTGAATGAAATTAGGCCACTTATATGCTGAAATATTTGTACAACTTGTATAACGTACTTTTGACTTCTGCTGTACAGAATGCAATGAGGACCAGTCATCTTAGGTTGGCTGCATTGGAGCAGGAGAAAGCTGATGAAAATGTCCAAAAGCTTGTGGATAAACAAACGGTTAGCCCCTGTTCCCTTGACGTGCTTGCATGCGGTTTTCTTTTGAATGACATTCGTCTTGTTCGCTTTGTACTATGTGGAAATTGCAGAGAGAAACAAAAACTATTCTAGACGACTTTTTGAGGTTGAACACACAGTTGGAGATGAAGCAGAAACTTGAATTGGAAATAAAGCACCTGAGTGGGAAACTGCAAGTGATGGAGCTCAAGCCAGGTGATGAAGATCCAGAATCCAGAGTGAAAATAGAAAAACTAAAGGAGGAGCTCAATCAGAAGATCGAAGAACTGAAAGATGCAGAAAGCTGGAACCAAGTTTTAATCAGTAGGGAAAGCAAGATCAGTGATGAGTTGCGAGAAGCTCGAGAAGCGTTGATAAATGTATGATAATTTTTATGTCATACCAGTGTACTGCTCAGTTTCAGTGAGTGTTTTTGTTTACGAGAACTCATGTTTGGTCCAATTGCAGTCTGCGCAGAGTTTGCCTGGAACCACAAGCTGCCGGACACACATAGGCGTCAAGAAAGTTGGTGAGCTTGACCCCAGTGTGTTTCTAAGCCTGTGCAAGCGGAAATTTCCAGCAGCAGACGCGGAAGCTGAAAGTGCTAGTCTTTGTTCAAAGTGGCAGAATGAAATTGAAAATCCAGAATGGCAGCCTTTCAAGGTTATTATTGTTGATGGAAAAGCATCGGTAAGATGGAATCTTTGCCTTTTGTTGAACATGTATCAATATTGGTATGAATTGTTTATAATGGAGCATTGGTGCTGCACGTGCCTGTGTAGGAAGTACTCAAGGAGGATGACAGGAAGCTACGAGAACTAAAGGAGCTGGGTAAAGAACCCTATGCTGCCGTAACAAAGGCGCTGCTGGAGCTGAAGGACGGCAATGGCAGCAGGAAGGATCCATTCCCTGAGCTGTGGAACTATGACGAGGGTCGGAAAGCAAATATGGTGGAAGGAGTTCGGTTTGCTTTGAAGCTTTGTAACGTGAGCAAGACGAAGGGCAAGAGAAGCCACTGACTTCAACGCCATTGTTTCATGCTGAATGAATGGAGGTCCTAACCAAATAGTTATTCTATTTTGGAGTAAACTGGAAGTGCAGTTAACCTGGTGCATTTTGCTTAGGATTATTACCTTGTATGTTGCAACTCTGAACCAAGCGTGTCCCTAACGCTATGTATGACAAATGAAGTCACGCTGCAACCGTGTCGTGCTCCGATTAGATTAATGCACTAGTTAAGTTCAGAAATGTCTGGTGTCAAGTTTATGTGGTTTGAAGTAACTCCAGTTTGCATACTTATACAGCTTGCATGACAATCGTGCTACACTCCATCCAACTGCAGTCACAAACAATTGTAACCTCTAGGCACTGGCTGCTATCCTTAAAGATCCAAAATTTGACCCCAATTTCAAAATTTTAATATATTTGGAGAACAAACTAATTCCAGAACAATTTAATTAATGGAAACGCATTTATCTTCCGAGTAAACTTGTGAGCAGGACTGTCACTTTAAACGGCAAGTGTTCTCTCTCTTTGTTCATAAAAAGAAAAGTGTGCCTGGCTGACCTCTTATAAGGTTTTGACCTCAGAAAATATCTATCCATAATATTGAACTTTTATAAATATGTATTCATAATATTGATTCTTTTTATAAATATTTATCCATAATATTGAGTTTTTTATATTTATTATGTTGAATTATCCAAATATTTATCCATAATATTAAATTTTTATATAAGGGTTGCTGAGTTTGTCTCGGAAATGTGTATTAGAAACTTAGAACTACTTATTAAATTATTAATTCTGGTCTGGTTTCTAGAATCTACTAGTTTAAATTTAATAGTTTTTAGTCACTTTTAACTTTTCAACCAAATACTATGATTAAAAACTAAAAGGACTTTAGTCCTCTCTAGTAACTCTGGAGTTACTAAAAGTGATTAAACCGTTTAGTACCTACTAAAGTTTAGTTTAGTAGCTCGAACCGAACACGCCTCAATAAACTCCTAGTGTGCAAATACGGCACGTGAAACGCGCAACCCCAGCTTCCACGCCGCTAGTTGCTAGTACGGTCATGTTGACATTGCCGCCGACGCCGAGAGCACCGATGCAAGCCACTAGGTCATCGATCACAAGCAAGAAAGCATCTCCTCAGTGGTGTCCGCGTGCGTCCCCGGTGGCATGCCTGAGCCCTGAGCTAAACCGTCATGTCGGTGTCGACTGCGCAGGGCCGGCTGCTTGAGGGCGACGAGGCCACGGCTGCGTCGCCGTTGCCCCATGCCCGGGCGCCGCCGTCGTCGCGGTACAAGGGCGTGGTGCCGCAGCCCAACGGGCGGTGGGGCGCGCAGATCTACGAGCGCCACGCGCGCGTCTGGCTCGGCACGTTCGCGGACGAGGCGGCGGCCGCGCGCGCCTACGACGTGGCCGCGCTCCGCTTCCGCGGCCGCGGCGCCGCCGCCAACTTCCCGGGCCCAGCCGACGCGGCCGAGATGGCGTTCCTCCCCGGGCGGCCCAAGGCCGAGGTCGTCGACATGCTGCGGAAGCACACCTACGACGACGAGCTCCGGCAGGCGCTGCGGTCCGGCGGCAGCGGCGGTGACCGCTCCTCCCTGGGTCTGGTGGTACTCCCCCGGGTGGCGCTGTTCGAGAAGGCGGTGACGCCGAGCGACGTCGGCCGGCTCAACCGGCTGGTGGTGCCGAAGCTCCACGCCGAGAAGCACTTCCCGCCGCTCCAGGAGGGCGCCTCCGCCGACACGGCGCCGGTGCTGCTCGTCTTCGAGGACGTCGGCGTCGGCGGCGGGAAGGTGTGGCGGTTCCGGTACTCGTACTGGACCAGCAGCCAGAGCCCAGAGCTACGTGCTCACCCGGGGCTGGAGCCGCTTCGTCAGGGAGAAGGGCCTTGCCGCCGGTGACACCGTCACGTTCTCGCAGGCGGCGATCACCTACGGGGAGACTATGGATGTGAAGCGGCGGATGTTCATCGAGTGCAGGAAGCAGAAGAGGAGAGACGGCGGCTGCAGCGGCAACGACGGCGGTGATTGCCCTGACGGCGGCGAGCGCGTCGTGAGGCTGTTCGGCGCCAACATTGCCGCTGCGATTGGAGCTTCATGATCAAAAATAAGGTGCTCCAAATTGGGGCGTCGATCATGTTTTGTTTTGACCATGCAAGACAATATATATGATTATATACCTCACGACTTCATTAATTCAGTACAAGCTTACATAGTTAGCTAACAAAATAATATTGCATGTACTAGACACTAGATAGACTAGCCCCCTTCTCTGAATTTGTCAAGTACACGTGCCTTTTTTTTTCCTTCTGCAGAAAATGCTATGATTATGTCTTTCCAAATCTTTTGAAATGTAGTACTAACGGCCTATTTGGCAGAGCTCGGAGCAGCTCCGAGGCCGATTCCAAGAGGATCTTTGTCAAATGTATACGATGATTTATCATGAAGCAATTATATCTAAAATGAAAGATTAGCTCTCATTCATTTTCTGCACAGAGTCACTTTTTAATCATTATCCTTGAGAATCACTTTCAGCTAAGTAATCACCTCCTTTGAGAATCAAAAGCACAAAAGTTCTACTGAACAGGACCCTAATATGTTATAGTTACAGAATCGGTTGAGCCCCACAATAATATTATTTCTACTAAATGTCCCGAATTGAAATCGTTATCCCAAAATGCGATTGTAATTCCAATATAGATAGATCTACCCATTTAAATAGTGTGTTGTAATTCCCATCGAGCAACCTCTCAGTCACGCATAGCAAGTCAGGCAATTTTTCTTGTGAAAACAAATGCGTGTGCATTTTCTAGAATTCAAAGCTAGGACCGCTTCTCACGCTTAAGCCATCTTTACCATCCCACCATTAAGTTGTTTTTTGATATCATTATGAGAACCATTTCTTTTGAATGTTCGGTGATAATGGTTTTCAGTGGTGGATCACATAAGCGACTGCATCTGACAATGCATCCATTTCCAATGGCGGTCGGTCTTCTGAAGCGATTGCCTGCGAAAATGCCCATTGTTAGTAGCAGTTACTTATGTCAATCACTGTTAGAAATAGGGACATTTTCATTAGCTATCTTGGGGCTGTTTGGCTGGTACATTTCACGGCTGATTTTGGTTGATTCAATAGTGTTCTATGAGAGAGAATAAGCTGAAGTATGGCTGATAAGCCGCCTGATAAGTTCAAGTGAACAGAGCCAAGTTGTTATGTCGTCTGCTTCTAGAAAGCTATCTCTAGTAGTGGGCTTTGACGAGAGCCCCTCTAACTTACTGTACTTGGGGAAAGCAATTACCACTACCACTCCTGTAAAAAACAAGGGACACCTGTGGAAATTGTTTTAGGAGTATCATTGTATGTGCCCCTCTGTATACAATAGGATACACTATATATATATATATATATAGTTGGGTATTATTTTGAAAATCACATTATAAAACATGAGCACTCATAAACATGCATTCACACTCATCGCGATATGAACCGCTCTGTTCGCTTGGCTTATAAGCCATACTTTTTCAGCAAACGAATATTATTTTTCTCTCACAACAAATGAGCCAACAATACTTTCAGCCATGACTTATCAGCACATCCTATCTCTATGAGCACATCCAAAAGATTTAGTTGACAAATCTAAAAATTAATGAAGTCACCACATGGGCTGAGCACTTTCTACATGGCTCCTAAAATATTTAAACGCTTGCGTTATCTAGTCTTGTAGTTATTAGACAATTATGTTTGTCCAATCTCATGACATTATTTCTCGTGATTTATTATTCAGCTGGTACCAAGAGGGATTTGATATTCAATCTCATGACAATCGCATCGGATGGGTGCGCAGCTACCCAGGGTACTAGCGCAATATTTCCGATATATTTTCCATATATATATATATATATATATATATATATATAGATAAATCATATATATATATACCGATATATAAACAGTGTCCTCTATTTTTAAAACGGAGAAATAAACAGTGTTACATCACTGTTTGCCAGAAACGATTTCCAAACTATACACGTGCTGTTAGAGTGTTACATCACTGTCTGCCAGTTAACAAGCAGGAGATTTCCAAACTATACACGTGCTGTTAGAGTGTTTTTTATTATTAGAAGCGCGTGGGTTGGTTTACTCACCGACACGAGCTAACAATATAGTAGTATTAAGCATATGAAACCAGCTTGCATTGCTTAATCACTAGTTAATTTAAAACTAATTGTATATATAAAAAAACGTTTTCGACACGCTTCCATATAAACATGTCTTGTGCTGCCATCGATCGAAGGAGTGTCCAAAACATGTTTTTTTATAGCGTGAGATACTGAGAATCTGAGACGTTGAATCGTTAGTTGATGAAGAAGCTCAAACAAATGAAACCTGGTCGGTTGGTGCGCTCTTGTTTGTCTTTTCCATCAGCAATGCCAAAACTTAGCCCAGTACGTACAGTCCATTTAATAACATGGTTTAATAATCAGTAATCCTAGTCAGCCATCTAACCAGCTGAGATAACCATCAAGACCAAAACCTGCGCCATACATGCACCGGGTCGATTGGGCTCGAGCCTTCCTACCGCAGTTCGAAATGCGAAGCCCCTTCTACAAAGATTAAAACTAGATATTAGAGATACAAGGTGATGAGAAAAACCCCATCTAGTAGTACTTCCTAGATCTGCCTTACCTAATGGTGTCTTTTTGGTTCAGCTAATAACAAATTACAGTCAAATAAAATTTAGTTTATTTCTTTCCTCATTTAAACTAGGTAAAATGCCATTCTAGCTCATTTAAACAAGTTATTCAATCGACCCAATAACCCAAAGTAATTTGAACTTACATCCCTAGAGCAAAACCAATCAAACCATAAGCACCGGAAAGCTCCGTTGCTACCTAGACAGAGGCACTAAAGAAAACGGTCGAGAGGACCCCGCAGTCAGTCTTCAAGCACCCACCGGAAAGGAAAGCTCCGGTGGTGTGGCGTTGCCAAGCATTGGAGAATGCAGCGAGCGTGAAACAATTCTGCAAAAACAATTCTCACCCATCGGATAACTCTAGTGATATCGAGACAGTAGCATCAGAGAAAGCATCGGTGCCCAGCAGTTCTATAGAAGGTTTGGTGGTCACCGGATCTCTCCGGTGACAGCGCCGGAGTAACATTGGAGAAAGAATCACAGGCTAGCAATGGTCGACAACATCTATTCAACGTGGCAAGGCACTGGATGTCTCCGGTAACCCGATCGGATCTTTTCCGATGAGTCTGCAGAAGTTGTAGCCTTTGCCCAACAACTATATTTTGAGGGGAGCCTATATATACCCCAATAGCCGGCCATTTGGGGAGTGTTGGAGCTTAATGAAAGGTATAGGAGGCTGAGGCTCAATGAAGGTATAGGAGGCTGAGGCTCATCTCTAATTGCTTAAGCCACCAAAGTGCTTAAAGATCACATATGTGATTAGTGTAGGTGCTTTGTGAAATGCTTAGACTAGTTAGACTACCACTTTAGTGCTTGCTCTAGGTTTACGCTAAGTGTTTACTGAGGCTTGCATACCTCTTATCATCTAGTGCTTGCATGCACCATTGCTTATATACTAAGGGCTTGTAGTCTTGCGAGATCCTCCAATGTGTGGAGAGGCCGATGAGCATGTACGAAAGGGCCATGCATTGACCCGCGATGTTTTGGCTTAAACACAATAGTGAAGACAGTGGGGAGTGGTCTGAAAGAAGGCCATCGGGGTCCACTTGCTCATGAGGAAGGACCATGGGCTATCCATGGAGTTACCCACTGGGAGCTTGGGCCGGGTATCCTTGTGAGTGGCTCCAACGAGGATCAAGGAGGAGCATGAGCTTCTTGATATCACATTTAAGCATCCGCACTTTACTTGCTTACATAGGTTGTGTGTTTACCTTTCTAGTTTAGCTTGCTAGGCTAGTTCATAGGATTAAAATTTAGATTGCATAAATCTTTTGCAGTAAGATAGCAACACTTAACAAAACCTAGTTGCACATTTAGATAGAAATCTTGCATATGTTTTGATAAGTAGAATTAGAGGCCATTAGTTTTTACAAGGAAAAATTTTCCAAATTACTTCCTCCAAGTTTGGCCTATTCAGATAACCCACTAAACTAACATTTGGTTCAATTTATTTCCACCAACTATTTCATTGGTCTAGTTTAAATTTGTTAATTTTTTGTCTATGTATAAGTTAAGTTTTAATATAAATTTTTGTGATGTGATAGAAGACATCATAAGTTATGTTAAAAAATATATCTTAACTTTTGCCACTATTTTGATAGCTTAGGAAATTTAGTGATGAATTAACACTAGAGATATAATATCATACAAAACATAATGATGAAAACCTTTCACCTCAAAAAATTTGAAACTAAAACGCAATTTATACATAGAGGAAAAAAAAACAAAATCCTTTCTAAGGTGTAAATTAGATCAACTTAAATAGTTGGAGGAAGTAGATTGAATTAAATGTTAGTTTAGAGGGTTATCTGAACATAGGCCAAACACGTTGGCAGTAATTTAGACTTTTTTTCTTTTTTATAAAGTATAATTTACTCTCTTCTCTTAGGTGTCACGATCCCTTCACGGTCCATATATGCAAGGAGCCATATATATGTGGTGTCATCGGATGATATATATCCCACGCTGCAACATTGCATACAAGGTCCATGCATGTGCATGGGGCCTTTCTTGTCCTTGGAAAATGTTCACCGACACGAGCGAGCAATATATAGTACTATTAAGCACCCATCAAATCAGCTTGCTAAACTAACGAGAAAAAACACACGACATATATATGGCAAAATTGGCTAGCGGACACCCAAAGTGGTGGTTATTTGCTAACGGACACCCAAGGTGGAGTTGTTTGCTAGAACACACTCTCGTTTGTTGCAATTTTGCCACAAGACACCGTGCCCCATATTTTATTCATTTACACCGGTAGAGGAGAGAGAAATTTTCAATATTAACATCCGATGCCCCTAAGCCACATTTGCATCCCGAACCTAGTCTGGTTGGACCGAGATAATAACCGGCCCGGACCTCGTCTCACTCTCCTTCCCCGTCTCCACGATAAAGGAAGCGGCGG